ATCTGAGATGACCGAAGGTTACGCCAATTTAATTTCAAGCACTTGGCTACTGAGATACATTCACAGATGCAGGAGAAAGGGATGTGGTAGCCAGGCTGCCTGGAGACATCTGCAACTAAGTCCATTTAGTGATCTCTGCAGCTGCTAATCTGAATTTGCCCAGGGGAGTGTGTTCTATAGATGCACTACATCTGTCTGGTGTGTAGAAGTGGAAGGCTGGTTGAGAATTCTTTCAGTGTTTTTTCATAGACCCTAGTTTGAGCAGGACATATTTGTGTCCACATTTACTGCTTCCCTTTCCATTCCATGCTGGACCTCTGCTTCTCTTTGCTAATGTTTTTAAAAGACTTATTTATACATTTGAAAGGCAGAATGGCAGAGAGACAGGGAGAGAGAGAGAGAGAGAGAGAGAGAGAGAGAGAGAGAGAGAGAGAAAACTCTTCCATCTACTGGTTCACTTCCCAAATGCCTGCAAAAGACATGGCTAGGCCAGGCTGAAGCCCAGGAGCCTGAAACTCTATCCAGGTCTCCCACATGAGTGGCACAACTCAAAGTACTCAGGGCATCATCTGTTGCCTTTCAGGAGCATTAGCAGGAAGCTGGATCTGCAGCATAGAGTAACCATATTGGAATCAAGCACTCTGATATGGAATGTGGATTTCCCAAGCTGCTATGCCACAACACCTGCATCCTTTGCTTATTTCTACACACACTGATCTATAGTGAGTCTTTGGCATGGGAATCCTTCTATCCCAAGGACCTTTCTTTATAACTGCAGTGAAGTGCGTCTTCTCTCTGCCACTGTGTGACTCCTGTAAGATCCTTACCACATGAGTATTTTGACTCGTCTTTCTCTTTGGACTCCAAGTGTCTACCCAGGGAAGGCAGCCTTTGCCTCCCTCCCTACTGAGCCTGACACCATGCTTTGATCAGCAAGTAGGTGGTCATTCTTTATCTGCAGGGTGGATGCTTTCTCACTGCCATCTGCAGATTTGTGTCTAATCCAAATTCTCATGTTGGAATTCTAACCTCCAAAGAAATAATATTAGGATACAGGACTTTGGGCAGGAGTTAAGTTCTTTCTAACAAAGTCCTCAGAGAGATGATTGCAGCTGTCATCATGAGTATCCAGTCAGAAGTTGCCATCTGTGAACTAGGAAATGTGTCCTCATCATACAACAGATCTGCCAGGACCTTCATCTTGGACTTCCCAACCTCCACAACTATGAGAAATAAGTTTCTGTTGTTTGTAACCTACCCAGTAGATGGTATTTTGGTTGTGGAAGCCTGAACAAGCACTTAGTATAGTAAGAAGTAAACATGCCCTTCTGATGTCCTAGACCTCCACAGTTACTAACATGCCTAAGGTGGAATGGGAAGTACTGATGAAAAATCACTAAGAAACTCATCTACAAGAAAAAAATGAGTGATTCCCGTTTTATAAGGAACTATGGGCTGTTCAGAACACTTCCATCCATACATTTAAGAATGGAGGCATAGAAACAAGTCCTCTAGGGCTTTCTGAACACCCATCATTTAAAAACTGTAAAAGTTAGGGTTGGGAGGCTGGGGTAAGCCTTCTTTGACATCTCTACAACATATTCACTGAACTTTCTAGGCAAATGAAAGCCTCTTCCATTATTCATTCACAGTCTACTCCGGGTCCGGTGCAGTGCTGGTTCCTCAGGGTAGTGTACCTGTTCTCAGTGAAGTACACAGGATTGTCAGGGGGGACAGGGGAAGAGGAAAGAGAACATTGCAATTCATTGTACGCCACAGTCCTCAAAGAGAACAAAAGCATTTATAATGGACTTAGTTTGTATCCCACAGGGCCTCTTATAGTGCTTTGTACAAAGCCAGACCTGCTGCCCTTCACCTTTTCTTTATATAAACAAAGGCTGCACAGTGTGGTCTGGAGCGTTTGTAGCACAACTGATGGAATTCAAAGCCAGACACAAATTATTTGTGGTAATAGGAGTATTTAGGGATGGCAGGCTTGAAGTACTTTGACAGGGTGATAACTAACAAAGTCAATAGAATAAATTTTCCTTTTCAAAGCAAAGAGAGTTTTAGGACTAAGACAAGGTAGATTTTTGTTGATTCCAAGTAAAGAATCTGCTACTGTTTATTCAAGAGTTTCTAGGAATCCCAGAGAGAACTTCAGGGAAGGAAATGGAATGTTTCTTGTTTGCTTTATAAAGTAACTATTTAAATGGGTGAAGAAAGGTAGGTGTGTGTGTGTGTGTGTGTGCGTGTGAGAGAGAGAGAGAGAGAGAGAGAGAGGCTGGAAGAGAGGCATGCTCTTCCTATTGGACCCAGCCTCTCTCCAACCTCAGCTGCTTCTGATCCACTATGTACAGTGCATATTCCACGGCAGCTCTCTAAATCCCACCATTGTGGGGGCGTATCTCCCCTTTCCTTAGGAATCCTTGCTTGCTTTTCTCAGATTAGAGGTTGCACCTAGAGACACCATTCTTGCATCTCCATCATAATACAAATCCCCTTGTTTTTAAATCTGTGTGTCTGTGATGGTCAATAGGTCAGTTAAATGAGTTTAGACCACATGGTATTATAATCACTAGCATGGTCCACATTGCAAAATCAGATGGTGAAGGCCTACTTCTGTCACAACATTTACTATATAAAAGCTTGTGCAAGTTAGCTATCCACTGTAAGTTTTTTCATTCTCAATATAATCAAGAAATTGTTCAGCAAATAAAATAAGCCATATACACACAAAGAACTTAGAACAGAGCCAGTTATAGGTGGATACTCATTGAGCATTATGTATCTTGTCAAAATCTTTTTTATCAAATCTTATTTGGTATATAGTTATTGCATAACTTCAGTAACAATCTGAGACTGCAGACTTGCTGTGTTTCAGGAATTCAACTGCTGAACTTCAGTAATTTAGATTCTTGATATCTAAGAAGTGCAAATACATAACATTCTCTGAGACATGATAGGAACAAACAGCAAATGGCATAAAGAATCATAATTCATGAAGTTCCAACATGATTCAATTAAAATGTCCATGCTTCAATGTAACTTTTTAGTACATTCCATCTCCTTTTTCATCTCCCTGCTCCAGACTGATTTCACAAATTGCTTTGGGGAAACATGTCCCAAGATCCTGTGTCCTCGGCACTGCCTTTTATGATCCCAAGAAACATCTTGCTGGCCAATCACCAAGAAACTCGGTTACCTACCTCTGGTTTGTACAAAACTGCACCGTGACTTTGTCCCACGTGCAGGAGCAGAGATGGGTTTTGGCCAACATACGTGTGATCTTTTCACTTTGGGAGTAATGCCCTGTGCTCACTGGAATGAACTACAGTAGGGAATGAATGGAGGCAAAGAGGCTCCTTTCTCTCAGTCACTGCAGCCTTGAATCCAGGAAGTAACAGGTAGATTTATTTGTGCCAAAAACCAAGCTGCGTTAGTTGCAAGAAATTAAGAAAAATAAGGCCACACCCTAAGTGTTCTGTTTCTTTTCACTGAGCACAATTCCCAATTTTTTAATAAGTTATTTTTAAAAGACAGACGAAAAAGAAACGAAGAATAGCCCTTCAGGCGTCCTTTGCCCAACCAGCAGCCGTTAGGTGAGCGAACACAGGGCATATCTATAATTCAGCTCTGGAATATTTCCCTTAATAATTAATTGAGCGCCACAAAAGAAGGAGGCCCAATACGGTCTTCGAACAAAGCTGCCGGCCAAGGACGGCAGTGGCTGCCCCGGAGCCAATGGACCAGCAAAGGTCGGATTTGCTCCAGCGGCGCGGCGCACGCCGACCGTGCTTGCTTGGCCCATCACGAGGAACTGGGAGAGATGCCCGGAGAACCGATCACCACCTGGGCTGCTTGGGGTGTGTGTGTGTGTGTGTGTGTGTGTGTGTGTGTGTGTGTTAGAGAGAGAGAATTCGTGTTTCCCCAAGCAAATCTTTCTCTTGGTGGATTTGTGGTAACTGTGTATTTAGATCCAGGTCCAGAGGCATTTCACAAGCTTGGCTCTTAATAACCAACCCGAGAGTCCATCCGGGGTAAGGCCTCACTATCCCACCCCTCCCGGGGAGAGAAGCAATATATATATATATATATATATATATATATATATATATATATATATATAAAATTTAATGGAGGTGGGTAGTGGTAGAGCTCCGGCCACTAAGATAGAACCCTCTTGCAAGCCAGGTAGACCTCGGTCCCAGTCCCATCTGCAGCAACAAGTTCGCCTAGAGCTCCTCCCCGCCCCCTCAGGTTCCCAGCCCGGAACCCAGCCCGCCACCAGTCCCTAGCGCTGCAACAACGCTCGCCCCGTCTCCAGTGCGTGGCCCCGGGCCAGGGCCTCAGCCGCGTTTCCGCAACTGTCACTTCACCGGGTCGAATACGTGTTTCAAGTCAGTCTCCTCCGCGCCCCGGAGACCTTACCCCGGAACTGAGGCCGACAAACTCCGGCGCGCAAGGAAGCCGGAGGCTGAGGGAACTGGGTGCGCTCGAGGCGAAAAGACGGCTCCGGGTCGGCGAGGGAGCTTTGCCAGAGGCACCGCGGCTCCAAACCCGCCACCGGGGAAGCGGAGGACGGGGCACCGGGGGAAACGTAGAGACATCAGGTACGGGGAGGCGAGGACGCTCCAGAGCACCCCGGTTTGGAGGTCTTGCACCTCCCGTCGAGGCTCCCCCAACCTCCTTGGGGCTCCCGCGCTGCCGTCGGGACGGCCGTCGTAGCGCCACCGGGGCCACCTCTCCCCTCGGGTTTGCTCGTCGCCTCTGGGGGCGATAGCCAAGGGCTCCTGGAACCGTTCCCAGAGCGCGGGAGTCGGGGGATCGGACCGCAGGGCGCGCAGCGGCGGCGTCGTGACTGCGCGCCCCCCGCCGTGCCTCGGGAGGCGCCCCTGGCGGGGAACGCCACGCCCTCGGCGGCCCTGGCCCCGCCCCCTGCGCGCCCGCGGCCCGGGAGGCGTGTGTTGCTCTTGCAGCCGCGAGCGAACGAGCGAGCGAGCGCGCCAGCCAGCCAAGCCAGCCAAGCCAGCCAAGCCAGCCAGCCAGCCAGCCAGTCAGCCAGCCAGTCAGCCAGAGATGCTTGCTGGAGCAGCAGTTCGGGCTGAACAAGTGAGCGCTGCTGTCTAGGATTTTGTTGCTTTTCCAGGGACCCTTGACTTCCTCTCCCTGAGGAGCCCTTCTGGCCGAACTGCAGAGGAACCGGGAGTCCTGGGGTCTTTGGGGTCTTCCTTGGGGGACAGCCCCAACCCCCACCTCCGGGCTCCAGCGGCGCCGACTCTGTGCCACCCTGGCCAGGACACAGAACTTGTTCCCTGGATATTCTGCAGCCGCAACCAGCCACACAGGAGTGATTTCCATTTACCTCTCTGATGACAGTTCTTCCCCCCTCCCCAGCTGTTGCAGCTCGAGGGGGCAAAAACAAACCAGCGGGGGGGTTTCTCTGTGTTTCTCCCCGCCCGGGAGCGGTAAGTATTAATACCTTTCTTATCTCTCCTGCACCCTCCTCTCGTGGCTGTCAAGAAACAGTGGGCATTTGAGGGATAAATAACATCGGGAATGTGACAGAAGGGCATGAATGGAAGGCGGTTAAAAATAAACTAGGAGGTGGGAGAGGGGAGGTGCAGATGCCGCGCGGCTCTGGGGGGGCAGCCCCGGGGGATGGGGGAGTGCGCCCTGCTTACTGAGCCCGAGCGGGAACCCTGGTCCCGAGGCGAGGGCACGATTAAAGATGTCGTTTCCCATCGTGGTGGGTTTCGATTCAGCCGCGTTTCGCCTCATTCCACCTTCACCGGTTCTGTTCTGTTCTTTTGCGAACAGCTGGTGAACGGGGCTGAATTGCTGCCTCTCCCAACATTGGGATTTGCGTGCATTTTCTGAGCATTTGAGCAACACATAGGGACTGTATAAATGGCGTGCATTGAAGTGTGTGTTTCTCATGGTGTTGGCCTTTCCAATTCCCTCTATCAATTTTTCCCTCTCAGCCTCTCTCTCACATAAGGTTCAGGTACCAGGCTAACACAGTTGCAGGGCAGGCATGAGAGATGAAAACATCCTTGTTGTTGGGGGGGAGAGGGTGGAGGAGGGGCGGAATGCTTGGCTGTTATTTGGGGGCACAGGGATTGGGGAATAGGCAGTCTGCAAAATTCCATTAATTTAATGGCATTTAAGAGACACGGGGGTTTCCCTGCACAGGTCTCTCCCAGAAGGGCTCCTGGGAGTCAGCTTGAATAGATTCTCCTAACAAGAATGCCTTAAGAAGGAAGAGAAATTCCAAACCAGTCTGGATGGCTGGGGGTGGGGTATGAGTTGGAGGGTTCTTTTTTGTTTCCTTTTCATTTGCTTTTGTTTTCTTTATTTTGATCAAGAATAGTGAGATAAGGGGTCCCCAATTAAAAAAGGAAGACAATTTGATTTTTGTAGGCTGGAGGAGGGAGTTGGATAAATGAACACTAACAAACCTAAATAATTAAGGAAATAAACGGTAGTATTTGGTGTAGAGCAGAAAAGGGGCAGGTCTAGGTCTCCTGCAGAGTTGGTGGTGAATTGGAAGACCCTCCAGTTCATGACCTTCAGGGGACCAGCTGGGCAGGAGAGGGATGAGTGCAGTATGCACATATATAGATACTTTGGTTTACACTGGGGCTTTTAAGAAAATAGTGTGTGATAACTGTTTGGGGGAGTTGGGGAAGAAACTGAGCAAAGTTTCAGGCTGTTTGTTTGGCTCCTGCAAGTCTTTCAGCAAGGCTGGCCTGATACTCCACAGTGGTGGTTTTAAGCAGGGACTTGGAGACCTACTGAGGGTAAGCATTTTCGAGTGTTCGATGATGTTAGGAGTCAGGCATAAGGAAGGGGATGCCATGGGAGATAAATTCAGAGATGTATTTTCTGGGTTTTGCGTCTCAGTCAAGCTCTCCCTTTGCCTGAGGAGAATGTGTATGATTGGAAAGCCCTCTGTTTGCCAGCTTCCTGCTAGTTACTTCACCAACTCAGGTGTGTTTAGGCTGCTAGGCTGACATGATCAGCAGCGAGCAGCAGGTGGTCAAGAGCTGAATCCTGTTAATGGCTTCAGAGCCATTTCTCTGTGCTTCCAGTAATAGAAGCTGATAGACGCCCTGAAAATTCTGGCATCATCTTTTCAGGTTCTCTGGGTCATTCTTTGTATTCTTAGAAGTCCTGCTGGACAGAGTAAAGGGAGGAAGCAAGAGGACACACAGGGAGGGACAGGTGGTTTTGCAGGTCCTGGCTAGGGTGATGAATTAGCTGAACTTGGGAGATCAAACTCAGGAAGAAGGACCAGGGATAGCAAAGTGTCACTGTGAACAGATCAGGACTGCAAGGAACATGTGATCAGAAAGTAGGAGATTAAAAATAAAGGTGGGCAGTGAAAGACAAGGGGGAAAATAGGTGGGATGGGATATATGGATTAAATTATAGGGAGAAACGTGTTACAGAGTGAGGGGAAAAAAGTCCAAACTGAGATCTGAAAAATAAGGCAATGGTTCTCTTGAGAAGAATGTAGGAGGTGCCCTTGAGGTGACCATGGAGGAACAGCATGGAGAAATGATGAATGATAGAGAGTATTCTGGAATCCGGGAGACAGAAAAAAACATTGGGACTTTTTTTCAGGGTGTCAAGGAATACCAACTTAACACAGGCGATTGAGGAATCTCAGAATGTCCTTATGTCCCTATACTCCATACCTCAGACAGTGGGAATGAGGTAGGTAGGCAATGGAAGCATAGGTTACTGTCACACTGTTTCTAACTTCCAGTGTTTATTGACATTCACTATGTATAAGGCACAGTGCTATTCTATCAATGCTAGGTATCTAACTTAATGCCTTCAAATGTGGGATGGGGAAGTTCCATTATTATCTATGCTTTGTAGGTAAAGTGGATGAGGCTGTTTCAAGTGGTGGAGTCTGCAAAGAAGAAAACTTTTTTTTTCTGACTTTCTGAATCCTGAATGAAAATGGAAAGGGGTGGAATAGTACTTAATTCAGAAATATTTTATGAGTGGACATTTACAAAAGCTGCCTTGAGATGAGTGATGGAAAGAGCTGTAAGTGACAGTATTATTGTCATGGAATGGAGAACGTGGTATGGCAGTGAGAATTTAAGACCTGGCATTGATGAGGGCGAAGATGGAAATAAGAGCCTTGTGGGCTGAGAGCGAAGAGAGGAAAAAATAATTGAGTTGCCATGAAAATAGTCTGAACTGAAATCATAACCACAGAAGAGTGAAGGAAGGGTGTTGAGTAAGAAAGAGATTTAAGAACAGTCTGCCCCTTACTCTTGGAAATGTTACGGCTCTTGGTGTGTTACATGATTTATGTGAGGACAAGAGAAGGAAGTATATATGAAATAAAACGCTCAGTTTTTGTCTGATTTGATCCCTATCTTTCTCCTATGCTTGTTTCCCGTCCCTTTGCAGGTGATGTGTTTCTTCTGCATGATTTTAGCTGAAGGATGCTCTGCATTTCCTTGATTTCTATGGAGACCTCAGAGCTGGTTTTGCCTCTGCTGACACCTCATTTTGCACCTTCTCTACCTCCCAAGGTCTTTGCCTCTCTCTGTAGCTTGGCATTGCCCCTGGGTCCAGAGAGCCCTTGAAGACCTTAGGGGAACAGCCTGGAGAATCAGCCTAATAGATTTTTGAGCAGCGATGGCTGGACATACTTCAAGCCTCATCTTAACATGGGTCAAGCTGACACTGGAAAACAAGTGCTAAAACCAAAGGCTTATTTGCATTTTGTTTAAATTTGATGGACTGAGCTTTGGACAATTTCCATGGAAGAAAAATATATTTCACTTTGTAGGCACCACTGCTGGCTGTCAGATCCTTGCTGCCTTTGAATCCTGCAGCAGCATCACCTACCACATCCCAGACATATTTCTGAATTTGAACATTACCACAAAACATACGAGTTTTGGAGACCCCATCACTTTATGACTTGGGCTTGAGTGTGATAGGCTGTTTATCTAGACCAGCCAAGCTCTGGAGAGCAATGTTGAATCCCTGGGAAGAGCGAGCATGGAGTGTGCTGATTTAAAAACAGAAAATGCAAAGTTGGACTGAAAATATCCTTAGTCTTCCAAGCAATCTGCTTAAGGGTTCCAAACTTACCTTAATTTGGTGAGAAAAGAAGCTGCCCTATTTTTCTTTCTTCTTCTACAACTGGAACCAGCCATTTCCAAAAACTACCGCCATGGAGGTCGCTATGGTGAGTGCCGAGAGCTCAGGGTGCAACAGTCACATGCCTTATGGTTATGCAGCCCAGGCCCGGGCCCGGGAGCGCGAGAGGCTGGCTCACTCGAGAGCAGCTGCGGCTGCTGCTGTGGCAGCGGCCACAGCTGCTGTGGAAGGCAGTGGGGGTTCTGGTGGGGGCTCCCACCACCACCACCAGTCACGGGGGGCCTGCACCTCCCACGATCCTCAGAGCAGCCGAGGGAGCAGGAGGAGGAGGCGCCCGCGGCCCGAGAAGAAGCGAGTCCACCACCGACAGAGCGGCTTTCCGCATTGCTCTGACCTGATGCCCAGCGGCTCTGAGGAGAAGATCCTAAGGGAGCTGAGCGAGGAAGAGGAAGACGAGGAGGAGGACGAGGACGAGGACGAGGAGGGAAGGTTTTACTATAGCGAAGACGACCACGGCGACGAATGTTCCTACACGGACCTGCTGCCTCAGGAAGACGGGGGAGGCGGTGGCTATAGTTCAGTCCGCTACAGTGACTGCTGTGAGCGTGTGGTGATCAATGTGTCAGGCCTACGCTTTGAGACCCAGATGAAAACCCTGGCCCAGTTTCCAGAGACTTTGTTGGGAGACCCTGAGAAGAGGACTCAGTACTTCGACCCTTTGCGCAACGAGTATTTTTTTGACAGGAACCGGCCCAGCTTTGATGCCATCCTTTATTATTACCAATCGGGAGGCCGCCTGAAGAGGCCGGTCAACGTCCCCTTTGATATCTTCACTGAGGAGGTGAAGTTCTACCAGCTGGGAGAGGAGGCCTTGCTCAAGTTTCGTGAGGATGAGGGCTTTGTAAGAGAGGAGGAGGACAGGGCCCTACCAGAGAATGAATTTAAAAAGCAGATCTGGCTTCTCTTTGAATATCCAGAGAGCTCCAGTCCTGCAAGGGGCATAGCCATCGTGTCTGTCCTGGTCATCTTAATCTCCATCGTCATCTTCTGCCTGGAAACCTTGCCTGAGTTTAGGGACGACAGGGATCTCGTCATGGCACTAAGTGCTGGTGGGCACGGTGGGTTGTTGAATGACACCTTGGCACCCCACCCGGAGAACTCAGGGCACACAATATTCAACGACCCTTTCTTCATCGTGGAGACAGTCTGTATTGTGTGGTTTTCTTTTGAGTTTGTGGTCCGCTGCTTTGCTTGTCCTAGCCAAGCGCTCTTCTTCAAAAACATCATGAACATCATTGACATTGTCTCCATCTTGCCTTATTTCATCACCCTGGGTACTGACCTGGCCCAGCAACAGGGAGGTGGCAATGGGCAGCAGCAACAGGCCATGTCCTTTGCCATCCTCAGGATCATTCGTCTGGTCCGAGTATTCCGGATCTTCAAACTGTCCAGGCACTCCAAAGGCCTGCAGATCCTGGGCCACACCCTCAGAGCCAGCATGCGGGAGCTAGGCCTTCTGATCTTCTTCCTCTTCATTGGGGTCATCCTCTTTTCCAGTGCTGTGTATTTCGCGGAGGCGGATGAACCTACTACCCATTTCCAAAGCATTCCAGATGCATTTTGGTGGGCTGTGGTAACCATGACAACTGTGGGCTATGGGGACATGAAGCCCATCACCGTGGGGGGCAAGATCGTGGGGTCCCTGTGTGCCATTGCTGGTGTCTTAACCATTGCTTTGCCAGTGCCAGTGATTGTCTCTAACTTTAACTATTTCTACCATAGAGAGACTGAAAATGAGGAACAGACGCAGCTGACCCAGAATGCAGTCAGTTGCCCATACCTTCCTTCCAGTTTGCTCAAGAAATTTCGGAGCTCTACTTCTTCTTCCCTGGGGGACAAGTCAGAGTATCTAGAGATGGAAGAAGGAGTTAAGGAATCTCTGTGCGCAAAGGAGAAGTGTCAGGGGAAGGGGGATGACAGTGAGACAGATAAAAACAACTGTTCTAATGCAAAGGCTGTGGAGACTGATGTGTGAACGGCTCTCTCCACCTGCCTCTGTCCTCCCAACCCCACCCCAGCATCTCCAAATATATTCATGTGTAGAGAGTGCAGTTATGAAAATGAAATATGCAATTGAGTCCAATGCATACAGTAGTACACCATTTAATGGTTATACATGGCTTAATTGTTGCTAAACTTGTATTACATATCAAATGATAAATCTTGGAGAAGAGGGAGTCTTAAATAGAAGCAAACCTATCTTATATTTTTTATTAGAATGCAAGAATTTTGCACATAAACTGGAAAAATGTTAACAGTAAAGATGGTTTTATGGAGAATGTGTGTGTGTGTGTGTGTATGTGTGCATACGTGTGCCTGGGGACATGCATCTGTAAGTAAATTGTCAACATTATTAGTAATTGTGCAGTGATGGGAAAAGTTGGCATTTGGAAGTATTTACTATGTAAGAACTAATGAATTTGAGTCATTTATCAGTGATTTAATAACATCTCAAATGTCTTTGGATTCTGTAGTTGTTTTTTAAAAATTGTAATTATTAATGTGTAGAAGAAAAGAAAGTAAATTATTTAATAGAATATAGGTCACAATTTTATCATGGATTTAATTAAAGTTTATTTTTAACTGGAAATTAACTTTTAAAAAGGCTGCAGGGGCCTTTAGAAATTGACTATATTTTATTATTAATTTTGGAACGTTATGATAGCAGATGCCTAACATTATGGAAGAAATGAAATTGGAGAAAATGTAACAAGTTTTGTTCATAGTCAACAGGACTGATTTTTTTTTTCTTTTGCACTACTTTTTATGCTGGAGATTGAGAGAGACTTCATACTGTGAATGTTTACTAATGTAACAGTTCAATGACAATCATTGGAAGAATGATTTCTTAGTCATATTTTATTGTTTTCTTCTTTACTTTGTGTGAGATTAATGACCATGCATATTACAGCACATGGTTTGCACATGGTTTTCTCCTCTTTTGAAACCTAAATAAGTAATCTACAAAGGGACTATGAAGTAAAATTTAGCAACAGAATCTTTTGGAGTTGGTCTGTTACAATGATGTTTCTGAAACCATACTATTTTAAATATTCTTCTGCCTTTGAAATCCAGAATAATTTAACCAAAGTTAATGCATGCACTGAAAGAATTCTTCAAGAAGTAGGATGCCTAGCAGCTACAGTGATTATGGCTTAAGATCTTTCTATTAAATGTGCAACATAAATGCTAGATTTATTAAGTTTACTTCTTTTTTGTGCAGCTATGTATGAGTGGAATGTGGGGATTCACCTCACATTTTAGTTTTCTGTTGGCTAAAATGGATGTAAGGAAGAATTGTGTCAAAACATTTGGTTTCAACATACCATCATTATTATCTTTATTAAAGGACTTTATGACACATGTCACTGCATTTAACTCATGATGAGGTGTTCTAGAATGTGAAGTGATAACTAGTGCTCCACCTTGCACTAAATCATAATAAGGTACAGATTAGGAAACTCAGAATACATAAGAGGCCTTACTCTGCAACCTTTCTTTAACTTGTATTTGTTATAAAATGATAGCCTCGGCCGGCCCCGCGGCTCAGTAAGCTAATCCTCCGCCTTGTGGCGCCGGCACACCGGGTTCTAGTCATGGTCAGGGCGCCGGATTCTGTCCCGGTTGCCCCTCTTCCAGGCCAGCTCTCTGCTGTGGCCCGGAAGTGCAGTGGAGGATGGCCAAAGTCCTTGGGCCCAGCACCCGCATGGGAGACCAGGAGAAGCACCTGGCTCCTGGCTTCAGGTCAGTGCGGTGCGCCGGCTGCAGCGCGCCGGCCACGGCGGCCATTGGAGGGTGAACCAACGGCAAAAAGGAAGACCTTTCTCTCTGTCTCTCACTCTCACTGTCCACTCTGCCTGTCCAAAAAAAAAAAAAAAAAAATGATAGCCTCAAGCTTTTTTTTTTAAAAGATTTATTTATTTATTTGAATAGTAGAGTTACAGAGAGAGAGAAGGAGAGACAGATCTTCCATCTTCTGGTTCACTCCCCAAATGGCCACAATGGCCAGGGCTATGCTGGGCTGAAGCCAGGAGCCCAGAGCTGCTTCCAGATCTCCCACGTGGGTTCAGGGGCCCAGGAACTTGGGCCATCCTCTTCTGCTTTCCCAGGCACATTAGCAGAGAGCTGGATCAGAAGTGGAGCAGTCAGGACTCCAACCAATACCCATATGAGATGCTGCCATAGCACCCGCCCCAATAGTCTCAAGCTTTAGGAAAAAAAATACTGCATAGACTATCTCAGTACATAATGAACTTTGACAACTGTGAACTTAAAAAAAAAAAAAAAAAAAAAGCCCCATAAGAGCCTTTCACAAGCTTTTTGGACCCAGGCCATCATTTGATAATTAGATAAATCTTACCTCATTGCGTGGTATTTGAAATTCAAAATAAGTCATGTATTAGGGTTAAAAGTAAAACTATGCCCTTCTTCCCACTCTTTGCCACTACCTGTAGAGAAACACTTTCTAAAATAGCATTTGGACAAGAGAAAGCAGCCAGCAGGGGAGTTGATTGAATCTAGAAAGATCAAAGATCAATAGAGAGTGACAAAACAAGGAAGTGCCATCTCATAATACTTCAGAGATGACATTTTTATGCAGTTTGGTTTGGGAGCAAAAATGTTACAGGTATTAGAATAGGGGCAAAGCTGTTTGGGTTGGTCATTATTCATTTGGAAAAGTCACTTAATACCTCTACACCAAATGTCATGTCTAGTTAAAAAAAAAAAAAAAAAAAAGAGGGCACATAAAGTATATTTCACCAAGCTTTGTGGAAACTGAGTGAAAATTCTGAAACGTTGAGTTCCTTATGAATGCCTGACTTTATTGTTTAGTTTTGCCCTGGAAGAAATGAGGGTTTAGACACCTTGAAATGCCTCTATTTTATTTGGATATTATAAAAATTGTGAATAATTTCAAGAAGTTGATTTGCAGACACATTATAGTCTATAGTTAAATAATTACTAGAGGGAAGATCCCAGGGATGTCAAGGTATGAAAAGTTGACCCTGCAGACAAGGCACCATGTGTCTTAACCTATTCCCAATTAGGTCAGACTATGTCTTAAAATGATTTCAGTGTTCTCTTGCATAGGATGTTAATTGAACATTCTATAAGATCAATAACAATTATTTGGTTGTGTTTTGTAGGGAAAACATACTGTATTTCATTGTTGCTATAACATTTTTTTTTCTTTTTTAATTTGAGAGGTAGAAAAGAGTGAGAGAGGTAAAGCTTTTCCATCCATAGGTTCACCTGCTAAATGCCTGAAACTAGGGCTGAGCCTGGGCTGAAGCTGAGCGCCAGGAACTAAATCCAAGTCTCCAATGTGGGAGGTAGGGACCTAAATAATTATGCCATCACCTACTGCTTCCCAGGGTACTCTTTAGCAGGCAGCTGGAATCCAGAGCAAAGCTGGGGTTGAATCCAGGCATTCTGATATGGGATGGGAGCACCTTAACTCATGTCTTAACTGGAGGCCACCTCCTGCCCCATATGACATTTTTTTTTGAAACCTGAAAAGTCATATTAACATTATTTGATGATGCAAAATATACTGATGATTCTGAGAATTCAACAAATACAGTCCTTTGAGAATCCTGGGGATTGCTTTTTATCACTTTTTTTTTTTTTTTTAAGGTAAGATCATCAAGAAGTGATAGTCATGAGCTTTCGTCATATTATTATTAGATTATCACTGAATGTGTCCCCGCAAAAAAATGTTCACTTGTTTTAGGACATTTGGAACTGGATTGTACACTGAGAAGGAAGCATTTAAGCCCTCCAGACTTATATGGGGGCATTTCTGTACGGAAGACTTCTCTTACAGTCAATGTGTGAAAGGCAGGACATCCCGTGCAGCTGTGATTTTGCAGCATCTTTCCAATTTGAAGCAAGGCAAAGTGCTTTAGAACTATATGTGAAATTTTTTTTATCCTGAGAAACATGCTATTTGTAACTGATTTAAAGAAACTGTATTTTCTTAGAGGCCACCATACACATTTGGTGATGTGATAAAAGAGAAGTGACCCCATTTAGAGATCTGATTTTTTGGGATCTAGGATCCATTGGTAGTTTTTCAGATGATAATGAATGTTACCAAAAGCACACTATCCGAGGGTCATTCTCATCAGAGTCTTTTCAAGGGTGAATGCCTTGTTCTCCCTTGTAACTGCTTGAAAAGAAAACAGTTATGCACAACAGTTACAGGGAAGAGAGGAGGAATAAAATATTCCTTTTGATTTTTTTGAAATGGGAGCTAGTGGGTGCCAGGGGAATGACAGCTGGCCTAGGGAGTCCAGAGCTAGCTTGGTAACCATGGGCAAATAATTTTATCTTTTTGATTCCCAGGTTTTCCTTTTAAGTGTAAAACCAGGATATTGGGTCAAATTATCAGCTGGTTTCTTTCAGTAACAAAATTCTGTGGAGTGGGAGTGTTAGAATAGCTTTTTTTTTTTTTTTTTAATACCCCTCAAGTCATATCAGCCTTGATTCTGTAGCTAATAATAACTACAAAATAATTCTTAAAAGTCTCATGGTTAGGTTCACTGCAGAACCAGGAATGTGAGTTTTTTACAGTGTGAACAGAATGAATAGATTATATTTTGAAGCTGTTCATTCTAATGATTTCTAGAGGGAAAGGATCCCTTTAATGAAAAATAACTCTTCAGTCTCCAGTTGAATACATATGGTGAAAGTTGGTAAGTAAACACTTTGATTTACTGCTTTGTGATAGTGCAGTCCTGTCAGTAAGCAGTGTTCAAACCTGTGCTGGGGGAACTCAATTTATTCTTAGGCACATGTAGTATTTCACAAGTGCTACTACTTTCGTTGTCAAATGTGTTTCAAATGGGATTGCTGAAGCTCTGAAAATTTCATTATTTAGCATGTGTTGAAATAGAACTCAGTATATGAATAAAAAACACCTAAGGAAAAGATTCTGAATTAGATACAAATTTTCCCAGTTTTGAAAAATGATTAACATTAACTCGTGAAAAATTGTTTTAAAATTGCCTTGGAGACATGAAACGGTGGCCTCCTGGCTTTCCAATAGAATCAGAAATGGTGTCCATTGTTATTTTTCAGGGGTTTGATGTATGATTAGTACTAACATTGGAGCTGTTACTAGGTAAAGTGGGAAAAACACCCGTCTTGTTTGATGTTTTTAAGACAGCCTGTGGTGCTGTGTTCATGTGAATGATCCAGAGTGTAACAACCATTTTTGTATGTCTTTTTTTATTGATACAGTTTAGAATGATTACGGGGTGTCATTCAGTGACAAAAGGGCCTGTTCCCGGAAATCTTCTTGACCCAAAAGTCATTCTGAAATCTGCAAGGGACATTTGATGTGGACTAAAGGTACCTCTTGGTTTTCCTGCCTGAAGAGAAACTTGATTCTAAGCACAGGATCTTCCAGACCAGTGTAGCCACTGCAGGTTAGAAGACAATTCTACTTTCTAGTATGGAAATCAGTATTCCTATCTGAAAAAAGGCTGATGGAGTGGTTTGTCTTGAAGGGTGAAGGAAGCAGAGTTCTTATTGCAGTAAATGGGAATATGCACTTCTGAAAAGTAAATTAAGATTAGGACTGTGATAAGAATTATGTTTCTGGCTTGGTTTTCTGTTTCCATAGCAGTTCCATTTTTCACAGTTTCTTCTTCATAAAAGTATGCTAATACATATCAGACCATATGGCCCGATTTGAGGCTCAGAAAATATGGTCACTTTATTTATGGGTAAATAAATTAATCCCAGGGCATGAGTCGGTTGCTTTCAAAGACATAACACATATGGAATGAGCTGTGGCTCTAAGTGGGAATGGAGCACCTCTTTTTGAGGCCTGTGAGACTGCAAAAGACACCTAAAGCAAATAATGTGCTAAATATAGAGTCTTGCTGTCATCTTAGAAAGCATATTCTCCAACTCAGTGGTCATGGTGTTGCTGACCCAAGGCTGTTTTTGATCCATTTGTTGTCACTGGTTTCTTGCAAGGGGTGTTTGTATTTAGTGTACTGAGTGCTAACTAAATGATTTTGTTAGTTAACCCACTATTAACTCTGGCTTCTTGATGTGTAAATGATTTGTTTTTTAGAGTATCTACAGCTGGTTTCTCATCTAAGACTCTCTTTACTCAGGCTCAGAACTTCATTGTCTTCTGTTTAGCAGCAGTCTAGAAAATGCAAAGTTATAGGATAAAATAATACAGTACAAAGAAACAACAAAAATACCAGAACTAGAAAGCTAAGCAAAACTTATTTGGGAAGCCTGTTGTTGTTCAGATCAGTTATATCAGGATATAATGTCAGGATTAAAAATATGAAGATTTTGGGATAACTTTTGTCATGGCTGTTTGCCATTAGCAGAGAAAACTAACAGGTGACTGTTGTGATGGATTGTATGTTGCAGGAAGTGTTACTGGTCATATATACATATTCATGTTTTCTGTGAAGATGATAGAACTATTGACCCTTCTTAGCAGTGATATTAGTAGTAATTATTGGTAATAACAAATATGGATAACATGGTGGCTTTTTACCCTCCCCCCAGTTATTGACATTATGTGGAAATGCACTTAGATTGTATTATTATGACTTGGTAGACAAGGGTGTAATTTCAAAGTCAAGGAGCATGAAGACATTTTATCCACAGCTTCTTAAAGTATTGAGAGCCAGTTGCCTCTTAGTCAAAGCAGTTAAGTAAATTGCCCCTGTGGATATAAAGCTGTGCCAGTGCTGAGCCAAAGAATGATATTTGTTTGAATATTCCTATCTACTATATTCATATCCTCACATGCTCATTTATTATGTATTTCATATTCTACTTTATTCTGACAAAAATACATAAGGAAAATGAATGGTCTGATGTACTGAAGGGACTTTTTGAAGTCTAAGTGCATAACTCCTAACAGTAGGCATATATTTGTATTTTGGGGAAATAGTGATTTGAGGACTAAAAAATATTTCAGACTTTAGTTTGAATTTTTGAGCTGTATTCTCACAACGATATTAGGGCTAAGGGTATCATGGGATAAGAGTTTTTAGAATTTTCATTCCCAAGAGGAAGGGTTAATTTTTGTTTTATAGGATGTTTCAGAATGTTTATTTTTCATTCACATCATTCCTATTATATAAAAGTTGCATACAGCATGGAAATGAGACTGTGTGATCTGTAGATCTACTTAGAGCTGTGTAGAAACAGACTTACCTAAAGCCATTATCTTTCACAGTTTTGTTGTAGCTGTTGTTTGACTTCTTTAATTCTCTCAGGTTCAATTATAGCGCTAAAGAGTTTCAGGTTATTGTTATTTAGGTGAATGCTCCAATCTCTTTCATAGCCTCTGAGGTGTTCACATATTAACTGTAAAATAATTGCAAAATGCCATCTTTTTTGGAGACTGGGATGATGTTATTTAAACTGTGTCTGTGATATGGGCTGCATTAGTTAACATGGGAGATGCATATTATTCTATTTATAAACTTGTACCTGAATGGATTGATGACTTCCCTGAAGAACACTAATGGTGTTGATAGCACCTGAACAAATCTTTTTTTCTCCTCTTAGTTGGTAGAGATCAGGATCCAAATGAGGCTTTCATTTGCTCTCAGGCGGGGTAGGAAATAATTAATGAAGCTCCCACTGGACTGAAGTCTATGAAGAGGTGATAGAATCTCTAGGGAATGCATTAGGATTTATATATTTTTCTTAATTTGTCACTCTTAGTTAATGTTATTGTTGACATTGCTATGAGGGAGGATGTTGATTCTAAGATTTACCTATTATTAAAATGAGTTTGATAAAAACAATTAGGAATTATAAGTATCACAGTGTTTTATTAGCTTTAGGATTATATCTAGTTAAACATTCAAGAAATTAATGTAAGACTTAGAGTTTTAAGATTTATTTGAGAGGAAGTATTAACGGACAGAGAATAAGAGACAGAGAGAGAGGTCTTCTGTCTGATGGTTCACTCTCCAAATGACTGCAATGGCCAGAGCTAGGCTGATCTGAAGGTAGGAATGAGGAGCTTCTTCTGGGTATCGCACATAGATGTAGAGGCCCAAGAACTTGGGCCATCTTCCTCTGCTTTCCCAGGCTGTTAGCAGAAAGCTGGATTGGAAGAAGAGCAGCCTGGACAAGAGCCAGTGTCCATGTGGGATGCTGGCACAGCAGGTAGAGGCTCAACCTACTGGCCTCAGTGCCAATCCCAGTCCTGAGATTTAGATTTCAATCTATATTTAGAGTTACTTATTTGAATGGAGATTTTAACCATAAATGACTCTTCTGCTCAGATTCTTGAGAGAATAATGGAATCTCTGTTTTTCTTCCATTTCCCTGACATGTTCACATTATTTCTAAACTGGTGAATTTCATATAAACATTTTGTCTCCTAACAAACCAAGTGAATGGGTTGGTTATGAGTTAACTACAAGATGACAAGAGTGTTTGATAGTCTTTTTCCAGCATTGCTGTTGATCACTTTAGAGGTTGATTTTAGCATATGTGAAATACTACACAGGGAAATGTCTGTGTCTTACATTAAAATCTGCATGGCAGAGTAGGAATATTAGGAATAGGTTTTCCTTCTGAATTCTTAGAAATGGGCTTAAAGCTTTTGACCTGTTTTTCCTAGACCTCATCCAACCAATGAGATGTTAGCAAAAAGACTTTTTTCCTGGACTAGCAACAGGATGTAAGCAGGATCAAAGCCAACTGGGAAACTGGGAGAGGAGGAGGGAGGTACGCAAGAGGCAAGTGGTTATGACTAAATGAAGCCATTAATTTGATGATGAAAATTAGCTAGATTAGTATGAAAACTATTTCAGTTGATAATGCTGCCTAATAATTTTTGTTAACTCGAGGACTTCAGGAAATGAATTGACCACTTAGAGTAGGTGAATGTTATTTGTATGTCCCAATTTCCCTTTGTTCTTAATCTCCAGGGGCACTCACAGTAACACTGCTGTTGAAAGTTAAGGTTCTCTGTTTCAATAGTAGAAAATCCACCTTTCCCTTCAGAGAAACAGACCCTTCACATCTTTTGGAATTTACCACTTGGGCATTTATTTGCAAATGGGAGAATTCTCCCTCTTTTCTCTAATGTAGAATGTCAGAGTGGCAGTGCATTATAAGATGGAATTAATCAACCAATAGAAGTCATGGGAATGAATGTCACTAACAGTCAAGTTGTGCTTATATTAGTTATTGCTAGTGTGCAATTCTTAGAGGAAAGGAAATCAAGAAATTTGTGTAGCCTAATTAGAACTCTGCCATCATACACTCCTTGCTAATTTAGCCACTGTGGCGGCTGCTTCTCATCCAGAGGTGTCATTTCACTACTAGAATCCACATATGTCATAGGCTTCAAGGCAGTGAGAAAAGCAGTGGAGAAAGAATTAGATTAGATAGATAACGATGAAGCAACATACAGTATTTTCAGGTGTGAATCATCTGTGACACTAGACTATTTTTACTCTCTCCAGGGACTGAGTAGACTCTCTAGATGGGAAAGGCTCTATTCAGGAATTACCATTTTCTTCTTGAGTGCCAGTGGTATTCTTGTTAGAGATCTATCTAGTGAAGCAGGGGATAAATCCTGCTGTTGTCCATAAAACAAGTTATCTCACATACAGGAAGCATTTTTTCCCTCATTTCAGTTATGAAAAACTGTAGTTATAAACTTTGCAAAAGAGATTAGAAGTCTTTGATTTTCAAAAATTTTGTTGCACTGTGGAAAGGATTTGGAAAGGAAACTTGAAGTAAAAGATTCTCATATAAGTTTGGACCTCTAAGAAGTTTATGGAAATGAGTATCATGAAAAGCTAAGCATAGATTTCAAAAATTTTGTGCCAAAATAAACTTACCTCATGATTCCAGTTTTCCATAAACTTTAGAAATGTCCTCATTCAGACTTGTTTGAAGTAAAATATCCAGAGAGCTCCTTTTTTAATTAATTAATTTATTTATGTCAGAGTTAGAGAGTTACAGATCTCCCATCCTATGGTTCATTCCCCAGGTGGCATACATACAACCTGGCTGAAATGGCCAGGTTGAAGCCAGGAGTCAGGAGCTTCTTTCTGGTCTCCCTCATGGGCGGCAGGGGCCCAAACACTTGGGCCATCTTTCGTTGCTTTTTCCTAGACTAAAAGCAGGGAGCTCCATAGCGAGTGGAGCATCCAGGACACAAACTAACACCATTTTGGAATGCTGGTGTTGCAGGCTTTACCCTCTATGCTACAGCACCTGTCCCTAGGGATCGCCTTATTAGTTTATCTTTTAATCTTTTACTCTAGTAATTCAGCTTTAAAAACAAGTTTCATAGATTGACATGCGAAATGCTTGGCTCCCATATTCCCCACATTTATGTAATCCCGATCACCTTTGCTTTGACAAAAACCCTCAACAGGAAGGCTTCTGTTCCCAGTTCCCAGGTTTCTCAGGGAGAGTTTGGGGCAGGAGTGGTGGTGGTGGTGGTGATTCGGTTAGAGATCTTCTCATTTTATAAATCAGGTCATGCCATTGCATAGCCAGAAAGCTTCTACAGTCACCTGCAGTGTGGGTCTGGTATGTTCTGTTACTATGCCAGCTATTTTCTGCCTGTTACTGAACAGCTGGGATTTCAGAAACAGCTGGATGATTAGTTATGTTTCTTTTTTCCCATTTTTTACACAGATGCTTTATTACTGTGTAGAAATAACTCCAGTGTGGAATGACCTGGGAGTATAATAGTAAAAATGTGCTCTGATGCAACTGTTGTTATTTGAAATTGAATCAAGAAAATTAAGGTGAAAGAATTTTGTCTATAATTTGCTTTACAAACAAGTTGCTTCATTTTCATTCCTAGGCAAAGCAGTTGACTTCCCAACATTTTAAATGCCTCTTGCCTTATTCCTTAGGTTGCTGAAGCTGTGCTTTGGCTGTTACATTGATTTGCTTAAGGGGAAATGTCTACACTTGCTGAGACATCACCTGAGTTTTCCATTCGTTGCTGGCAAGAGGAGCTGACAGCAGGCAAGCTACAGACCTCTCATTCACCAGAGTCTATTTTTAAGTTGGTCCCTTTGAGACCGACTTCAGCCCTGACTGGAGAGGGTGAAATTCAAAAATCATGAACTGATTTTTTTATGATTATTTGCAGTTTATTAGACTGTATGGTATTGTTAAAGAGGCAAATTTATTTCATGTGCTGTTTGTTGGTTCCTTAAACAGGGCTAAAATTAGAATAAAAACGGGTGCATAGACATCTTTTTCTTCGTCAAATATTCTTTTAACAGATGTTTGCTAAGCTCATGCTAGGTGGGTGGGCTATACTGTGTACCCAAAATCTAGATATACCAAAACTTCAGAGAATCATTCATTTTTCTAAATAGCAGGATTCTTTATTATTATTATTGGTTTTCTTCTTCAGAATTTGTATGTGTGATTAGGTATAGATTTCTTTTGGAGAAGGAATGCTTTCGTTATACTTACCTTTAATAAATTCTATGCTGTTTTCTGTAATGTGTTTTATTTTCTTTAGTGACATGTATAAATTGTGTAGTAAATGGTCGATAGTCCAACTTGCTAATTTTTTATGATTCTTGCATGAGCAAGAACAGTAGTCAGTGTTTTCAAACAGCACAAGTGATTGTATGAACAGTATTTACCTTTTGTAATCCACATAATTTGTATTTCTTCTATTAACAGCATTTGAATAAATTGTAACTCAGAGAAAAAGTGAAAGAGGAAAGCAGATTTAACTAAAGTAGTAAATACCGGTAAAACAGTCAACAATAATTGTATTTTTATTCCCAAAGTAGGATTTTTAGGACCATGTTTTTTCTGTCTCTACACACATATGCACACATGCACACATGTATATTAATAACCATATGTATCTTCCTCTTTGGGAAAGATATAAGTGCCGTTGAAAATGGTGCCTGTACAAATTATGGCTTTAATAAAGACCTATCTTTCTTGAATAAATATAAAAAATGTTATTTTGTGGGTATATATATATATATGCAAACCAAATATGGAATTTTATGGCTATGTCAGGGCAATAAAGGCAAATATTAGGGATTTTGCTGAGGTATTTTCTATCTTGATCATATGTGACAGATGTTTGTTTAGGTTTCCACTTGCTTTCAAGACAATGTCTGATTACTATGTCTTGGAGTAAAGGCTTTCACATTTGAAATGCAGTTACATGGAATTTTTTGCTCTCTCCAACTAGCTTTATTTTCTTAAGAAGAACTTGGACTTCTATGAAATACAAGTATATCTTAAGGACTTACTGGCTGTAGGATCTCAGAACTTACCTGTTCTGAGCTGCAGAACTTACATTCAGTTCCCTGCTTTTAGTCTTCAAGCCAAAAAGCCATTATCTTTAATTGAAGCTGCTTATACTTTAAGCCAAACAGTTGGGTGGGGGGGACCAAATTGATTGATTGACTGGCATTGTGAAGCCATTGATTCAATTCTGCTTCATTAAAATCATCAGAATCAAATGCATCCTGGATTGTCTTTAAACTTTAGGAATTTTTGAATTGCTATCTATTTCATAAGGGAAATGCCTTTAATTGTAAAACCATTATCTTGTGAGATTTTATTTTTTACTTTAGCAAACTGTAAATATCATTTGTGCCTTAGAAATATGAATTCTGCATATAAAATGCAATGAAACAATGATTTATCTGTTGTTTTAAAAGTAAGATATTTTTCCTTCACAATTGTTCATGCTTCAAGCATTTGCAAACTTGAAAATGTCTTAGCCTAAACTAGCCATCACATAGTTAATATTGGAAGATTTTTAGTTACTATTGGAAGATTTCATTTGCTCATTTTCACTGCATGAAAGATGGAATGACTTACAATTTTTTTTTACAAAATGAAAATCAGAGGTAATGGATGCTGAAACTTTCAGTGAGGTTCATTCACAAGTTCTTTAATGGAAGACAAATGTATTTAAACTCTATCAGAATATACCACACCTTACCAGAAAGTGTGGTTTTAAAATGTGACATTATATTAAGTAGATTATATTTCTGACATATTAAATAAACTTATGTCATATAACATTATCCCTATTTAAGGCCTGGTTTTTGTTTTTTAGTATTACAAATAGGCTGTGTGCAAATGCCCTCAGAATGGTTTGACAATTTGGAAATCTGTCTCTGGAAGAGAAGTTATATTTTCAGAAGAAAATGTCTGTTTATATACATATTTGGATATAAATGTATCATAACTATCTGCATATCAAATATTAATATCTTATAATTAATAATATATATTACAGAATTGTTTATTTATTTGAAGAGCAGAATTACAGAGAGAGAGAGAGAGATCTTTCCTCTGCTGCATCAGTCCCCAGATGGTTGCTATGCTGGACCTGGGTGGAGCCAAAGCCAGGATCCAGGAGCTTTCTAGGTTCTCCCACATAGGTGGCAGGAGCCCAAATATCTGAGCCATCTTCTGCTGCCCTCCCGGGTGCATTGGCAGGGAGTGGGATCAGAAGTGAAGCAACCAGGACTTGAAGCTGCACTCATATGAGATGCCTAAGTCAAGGTGATGGCCTAACCCATTGCACCACAATGGCAGCCCTCTAATTATCTTTAACTCTTACTTTAGATCTTGATCTTATAATTTTGTTCTTGATTTTATTTTGTTTGAAATCAAATGTATGGTTTCTATGGTACTACATTATCATTAAGTAATTACTTCTATGAGCTGTATTACACTTTACATTAATAATAAGAGGAATAAATAATCTGTGCTGATTGACCCCTAAAGAAATTAATGCATAAAACATATATTTCTCTTTTCACTGGTCATTTAAACAATTTCTCAGTTATCATGTTTTTCTACTTTATGAAATCTCAAACACATTATTTCACAAAGTATTTATTACAGCCCGGTCGTGGCATTTATCAGAACCTAACCTTCTGCCACAAAGAAGCAAACCTCTTGGTCTCCACAAAATAGTATTAAAAGCATTTTGTAATAAAACTCTCACTAAAATGATGGTTACATGGCAGAAGTTCAAGGACAATATTGTAGGCAGATCCAAGGTAGTTAATGGAAAGAACAGACAATTTAAGGGATTCAGTTTCATTAAAAAAAAAAAAAAAAGTATAGGTTCTTGGCAAGTTGAATGTTGCTATAGCTCCAGTATTTTAAATCATATTAGTTGCCAGTTAATTATCATTTAATAGTTTAATGAAAAATTGGAAATGAGATACAGTAATAGAGAGGGTTTTGCTGGTAAATAATGTTTTTATTTTATTTTGACACTATTCCTCTAATCAAGTCCTAATTATAGATAATTTTTGTTTGTATAACAAATAAAAAGAACAAGAAGCTCAAAGCTAGATTAATAACAGATAAGTAAAATTTGCCATTGTGTTTTGGGCTAGTGGTATAACACAAAGTAATATATTATTATTTCTATAACTAATCTGATAATCTTATCATTTTTTTAAAAAAAGATTTATTTCTTTATAAGTCAGAATTATAGATAGGGAGACAGAGAGATGGAGATCTTCCATTTACTGGTTCACGCCCTAAATAGCCACATGGCTAGGGCTTGGCCAGGCCAAAGCCAGGAGCCAGGAGCTTCTTCCCGGTCTCCCACTTGGATACAGGGGCTCAAATACTTGGGGCTGCTTTCCCAGGCACCTTAGCAGGGAGCTGGATTGATTAGAAATGGAGTAGCTGAGGCTTAACCTGGCACCCATATGGGATGCCTGCACTTCAGGTGGTGGCTTAAACCACAGTGCTGGCCTCAATATCATCAAATTGTAATAATTTATTCATTTCCAGGGAATCCTATTATGTAAATGCAGGAAAGAATTGGCTGAAGGGCAGGTGTCATCCTAAAATTTGTCACTGCCTATATTCCTACTACTACAAGCATATTTGTGCTTACAGCCTCTTTAATATTTTTATTATTTCTCAGATTTGCAGGGGAGAAGTTTTTAATTGTTTTTTCCTATTCCATTTTTGATGCAGAGATCATATGTTAATAGAGTGTTTGGGAGAAGTAGTTGTATGTGTTTTTTTTTCCCATGTGAGTGGTTTGCGCATGTCTATATCAAAATTTACATATGTTTTTCCCTGATTGGTGAGGTGATTAATGTATGCTTCTTATTTGTGTGATGTACCTTGAAAGAGACTTATCTACAACTACCAAAGTGTCTTCTTTTATATTCATGCTAGTGGAAGATCAACTTCATCCTTAGCATGGCTTATGTTCCTTAATGGCAATTGGGTATATATAATGTGTCCCAACAATATATAAGATGCTTTTGGAGCATGTGAAATGTGTTTTTGTATTCACAAGGCTGACCAAATTGTTTACTCATTGCTTTTGTGGATGTTTTGCCCTTGCTTCCATATATTTTAAGAAAGTGCTATTGAATTATGTTTAATGATAGTGATACAGAAATATAATTTATATCAATAATGATCACATGTTACCATGGTGGCATTAGTGAAAAACAGTAACAATTATTGTAATTTAGGTCAATAATATAGCTTTTTGTATATTATTGTAATTTAGGTAATAATATAGCTTTTTTATGTCTGTAACAGGTGGAGAAAGGAGGAAAACAGGCATGTTATCTTAACTCTCCAAATTCTTTTTCCCTATATCCTACCTCATCACAGTTATAACATATGTGTAATCTGAGTTGCATTTTGCCCTGAGTATAATCTCACTGTTTTTCTTAACATTGATACATAATTTAAAATTTTATTCTATTTGCCATTATTTTTTTTTTTTCTGACAGGCAGAGTGGACAGTGAGAGAGAGAGACAGAGAGAAAGGTCTTCCTTTGCTGTTGGTTCACCCTCCAATGGCTGCCGCGGCCGGCGCACCACGCTGACCCGATTGCAGGAGCCAGGTACTTATCCTGGTCTCCCATGGGGTGCAGGGCCCAAGGACTTGGGCCATCCTCCACTGCACTCCCTGGCCACAGCAGAGAGCTGGCCTGGAAGAGGGGCAACCAGGACAAAATCCGGCGCCCCAACTGGGACTAGAACCCGGTGTGCCGGTGCTGCAAGGCGGAGGATTAGCCTAGTGAGCCGTTGCGCTGGCCGCCATTATTTTTACTTACACCATTTTGTATACAATCAATGCACATAGTTTTCTTGGTCATTTCAGTATGATGGAGATTATTTTCTAGACTATTTTACTTTATTATAAATAAAACTATGATGAATATCCTTATGAGTATAATATTTCAGAATATCTTCTTAGTATTTTTAGGCTAGCTTTCCAGAGGAAGTCATTTGTTTTTAAATAAAGGGATTTTAATTTTAAAGCATAATTCATGCTTTTAGAATGAAATGTCATTTTTTGATTTTTAATCAACTGGGGTGAGAAATAACATGAAAATTATGCATTGGTTGTTCTCTGCATTTTATGAAACATCAATCGTTTATAGATTATCAATCATGGAACTCCTATATATTGTACTAGCTTTGTCTACCCAGATATCCAGTTGTTTTAGGTGATAAATACTGTGTGAACCACTGTGGACAAAGTGGTTCATATTAGTCTTTTGCTTTCCTATGGTAAGCAGACCGCTGCATATTTTTATTTGGTTTCTGGTTGTCAGGTTAATCCCGGTGTGTCCGCCTTCCACTGCCATAGCTGGAAGTTCTGCCTTCAGTTCTCTGATACCTCTCAACTTCACCATCACGCAACACCTCGCTTTGTTCTTCAGAAAACGTTATGTCTTGAATTATCTAATCTCTGTACGACTTGTGAGTGATTTCATAGTGTTTCAGGATGAGATATTGAATAACTGGACCCAGGCTTTATCTTTATCTCTGTTTCTTTTCCTTCCCCCTCATAATTCTGCTTCCCCTCCTTTTCTTTAGTTCCTTTACTTCACAGTTTAAAAACTGAACCCTGTTCTTCCTTGACTTGATGTTTCTGTACTGAGGGAGACAGATAACAAAAGAGAAACTTTCTGCTTGCCCCTTTCTTCTCATCTTCGTGAAACTGGAAAGTTTCTTAGAACATCTTAAAACAGTTCAGGTCAGAGATTACCATCCCAGTAAAAGAATTTAGCTGCATGGGCTACTGAGTTTTACAGAAAACAGATCTGATGTTCTTCTTGTAGTCGTCTCCGAAAATAAGACAGGTTCTTCCTGGGAATGCTAATTCTTGGTCTTGAATCATCTTTGTCTGCCTAACATCTGGGTTCAGCATTTTAATTAAAAAAAGCCTGGGAGGGAAGAGGCAGGTATCATTTTTGTTTCTCCTTTCCCTTGGCTGTTAAAAACATATTTCCAGCTCGGTTTTCCAGAGCTCCTGTGAAAGGAATTCTGGAATCTTTTTAAAAACACTGCTTATTCTAAGCTTTGAGTCCATAACTCTATGTTATGTTTCTTACTATCTGCTTATCTTTGGAATTGCTAATGTTGGGGAACCTAATTCAATTAGAACCTTTTTCTGGAACCACCTATTATGCTAGAGAACATGTAGAAATGAACAAGTTTTTGTTTTCTTTAAAGATTTGAATTAATTTATAGTATCTTATAGATAGCTTGCCAGCTGCATTTCTTCTCCTTGTGCTTCACATGTCAGGTGATTGCCTCGATGTCTTTAATCATAAATATAGGCTTTTAGGGGTCAGTCACTTCAATGATGAGGTGGTAACACCAGAAGCTAAATGTCAGTTTCTAAAACAAATAAGCAAATAAAGAAATTAGAACATTTTCATTCACTAGGATTAGTAAAATTATGAAAAATACTTCTATATTTGAAAACTCGTTGGTTGTGTTTGGGGCTGATTTTAGTGCATATACTGGCATAGATATTCAGATGCTATATGTTGAAACACATTTGTATGGATTAGTAGCCAGGTGACACTACGGCACCCACCCAGTGCCCCAAGGTCTAGGCTTTTCTAATTGTACCTCTTTAAGATCCAGGAATTAAAAGGTAAACTGTTCCCTAGAGGACCTCTACATCAACTCCAGTGCCAAGGCCCTTATTTTATCCTGATTGCTCAGAAATTATTTCTGATATGAAATATCCAGTCTTCAAGTGATCCAGTTGTTACAGAATTTTGGCTTTCAGCTCTTCTGGATACCCACGTTGGCTTCAGATATTATGGGAATAATTACTTTTGCTATGCCTCAATCTACTCATCTATACCCTGGATCTGATGAAATCAACATATAGGAGTAATGAGCAAGTCCCAGCTAGAATTTGTGGAGTACTTAAGCTTAATTTGTAAACTACAAATTGGTTTACATGTATATCAGTTAGCATTGTTTATGTATTAAATCGGCCCAAAATTTAGTGGCTTAAAACTTAGTGATTAGGCATGATTTTGTAGGTTGGCAATTTTGGCTAGGTTCAGCTGGGTGATTTTTCTTCTGATATCACCAAAGCTTCCATTTGTATATGTGTGTGTGTGTGTGTGTGTGTGGGTGTGTGTGTGTTTAAGATTTATTTGTTTATTTGAAAATCAGAATTACATAGAGAGAGGAGAGGCAGAGAGAGAGAGAAGGGTCTTCTATCCGCTGGTTCACTCCCCAATTGGCCACAATGGCCAGAGCTGTGCTGATCCGAAGTCAGGAGCCAGAAGCTTCTTCCAGGTCTCCCACATGGATGCAGGAGCCCAAGGACTAAGGCCATCTTCTACTGCTTTCCCAGGCCATAGTGGAGAGCTAAATCGGAAGTAGAGCAGCCGGGACTCAAACTGGTGCCCATATAGTATGCTGGCACTGCAGACAGTGGCTTTACCTGCCACGCCACCATGCTGGCACTCATTTGGGGTTTTAACCATCTGGAAAGTCTATTTTTGGCTAATTAATCCCAGATAGTTTCAAATACATGGCTATAAACTGATGGAGTGGCAAAGTCACTAATCTGCCATTCAACAGGATAGGCTATGCTGTTTTACATGGCAGCTGGGTTTCAAAAGCAGCAATGCAGGGTAAACATGACCTAAGTACTTCTCTGAGTTTGAGGGTTTGTGTCATCTTTGGTGATGACCTATTAACCAAATAAATTACATGGCCAATTCCAAATTGAAGAGGTAGAGAAACAAAGTTCACTTTTGTTAAGAGGAGCTCTGAAATATTTGTGGCCATGGTCAGACTTTCCTCATGGAGAATCTGCCACAAAACAAATACTGTAGAGACATCTGTCCCTGTTCATGGAAAGAATGCATGGAGAAAGAGAAAATGTTTCAATTTGTTCTGTTTTCCAAAATCTCTTCTGTCTGGATGGATCTTAGAATATGTATGCACTCTAGATTATGAGTCCTTTTTCAGGTAACACTTACAGGATGTTCTAAAGTTATTTTTTTTATCTCCATTAAATTTTTATTTTAAAATTTCTTTCCTTCTAGAGAAGATTACAAACTGTATTAGTATTTTAAGTGATCTAGAAATGATTTAAAATATATAGGAAGATGTATGTAGGTTATATGCAGATACAATTCCATTTTATATAAGGGTTTAGAGCATCTGTCAATTTTGGTGTCTGATGGGGCATGTGGGAACTAATCTCCTGTGTATACCAGGGATGACAAATTAGAATAATCATGGTTTTCTGGAACACATGTTAGCTAGAAAGCAAGCATATTCACTGCTTGTTATGAGTGACTTCATTTAATGTTCAGGGATTCTTAGGAGATGATCAAGGGAAGTATAAGTTTGTCCTTAATGAAAGAAGATAGCAGGAGGCATA